GAGTCATGTACCAAAATGTTCATTGCAGCTCTATTTACAATAGCCCGGAGATGGAAACAACCTAAGTGTCCATCATCGGATGAACGGATAAAGAAGATGTGGCACATATATACAATGGAATATTGCTTGGCCATAAAAAGAAACGAAATTGAGTTATTTGTAGTGAGGTGGATGGACCTAGAGTCTGTCATACAGAGTGAAGTAAGTCAGAAAGAGCAAAACAAATACCGTATGCTAACACATATATATGGAATTTAAGAAGAAAAAATGTCACGAAGGACCTAGGGGTAAGACAGGAATAAAGACACAGACCTACTAGAGAATGGACTTGGGGATATGGGGAGGGGGAGGGGTGAGCTGTGACGGGGTGAGAGAGTGGCATGGACTTGTATACACTACCAAATGTAAGGTAGATAGCTAGTGGGAAGCAGCCGCACAGCTCAGGGAGATCAGCTCCGTGCTTTGTGACCACCTAGAGGGGTGGGATAGGGAGGGTGGGAGGGAGGGAGACGCAAGAGGGAAGAGATATGGGAACATATGTATATGTATAACTGATTCACTTTGTTATAAAGCAGAAACTAACACACCATTGTAAAGCAATTATACTCCAATAAAGATGTAAAAAAAAAATCACTTTGAGGTATGATTGACATATAAAAAGCTGTATATATTTAATGTATACAACTTGATGGCGTTGGACGTAAATATATACCCATGAAACCATCACCACAATCCATGCTAAGTATATTCATCATCTCCAAAAGTTTCTTCCCACCTAATTTATTTGAACACTAAAGCATAAGAGGTACCCTCTTAGCAAAATTTTAAGTATACAACACAATATTGTTAACTGTAGGCACTGGGCTGTACAGTAGATCTCTAGTACTTGCATAACTGAAACTTTATACCCTCTGCCCACCACCTCCTCATTCCGCACCCCCCCCCAAACCCCTAGTAACAAACATTCTACTCTCGGCTTCTATGAGTCTATTTTAGATCCCTCATATAAGTAGGATCATGTTATATTTGTTCTTCTGTGTCTGGCTTATTTCAGTTTGCATAATGTCCTCCAGGTTCTAAGGCTGAATAATATTCCATTTACATAGCTACCACATTATCTTCTCATTCAGTGACAGGCATTTAGGTGGCTTCCTTGTCTTGGCTATTGTGAATAATGCCACAGTGAATGTGGAGGGAAAAATCTCTCTTTGAGATTCTAATTTCAAATCCTTTGGCTATATGCCCAGAAGCGGGGCTGCTGAATCATATGGTAGTTCTATTTTGAATACTTTGAGGAAGAGTGATAGATACTGCTTTCCATAGTGAATGAACCTATTTACAGACCTAATTTTCAAAGTATTTTGGTTACTTAGTTCTTAAAAAACATGAAGCATGTAAGAAATTTATCCATGGCACCTGCATAAAATAATTGGATAATAAAAATGATTTATTAGATAATTTGGGAAAATGTGTCAAAAGTTTGAAACTCAGCTGTTTTACTTAAAAATTACACATTATTTCAAGTAGCTGGAAAATGTAGAATATTAGATACATGCTTTGAGTAGAACTTATCTTGACATCATATATTACTGTTATTTAGTTGTTTTAATTATTACTTGATTAGTAAAACCAACATTTTATCTATATATTTTCTCCTCTTAGGGACAAAGATTAATTTGAGTAGGATGTTAACAAATTTTGACAAATCTGAGTTACTGTAAGAAAATGAGTTTCAACTTTCTACACTAAATTATATATCAAATATATCAATTAGCTATGGCCTACACAAAAAATATAATGCATGCTTTTTCTGAAGGTATTCTATATATTCAGCTACTCTCTGTTTCCTAAATGAAAGAAATAGGTTGCACAATCAATGCAATAAGAGCCCTCTTATCTGGTATTATTGGGGCTTGTAGTTTATCAATTAAACAAGAATCAAGGTGGAAATTAATGTGCGTATACAAACATATGATATACATTTTAACTTAAAATATGTAAATATATAGTTATTTTCCCACCTTTTCACTTAGGGTCAGAAGCTATTTCTTTAAATAGAGGATGAATGTGAGAGTTCAGAACTGTCTTCCTTGCATAAACCATATGCATACAAATTCCAGATTATGTTTCTTTAAAATGGAATATGAATTGAAAAATGCCTGTGGAACAATTTGAGGGTAGAACTATTTCTCCCCATCCTTTATTGTTGATTTATCCTCACCTGCTTTGAAAGCATTTTTCTTAGCTACTTGAGGAATCTGAAAGCAGTCAATTTAGTCTTCTTAAAAATTATATCTCTCACTTCTTACCCATATCTCACCAGTTATATAATAATTATATTACATATTATAATAATCCTTATAGTGTGGAAAAAAATTCAAACTGCTGTGATTCCAAGTAACTGAGTATTCTACAGAACAGCCTGGTAAGATCTCCCAGTGACCAGTGCAACCGGCAGTGTGTTTTACAGAGGAACTAAAGTGTATTGGTTAATCAGAATAAAAAATTAAATAGTGATCAGAATAAAAAGTAATAAAGTTGTGAGAAATTGTGAGATTTTTCGTTCCTTGTTTTTTTAAAACTAGCTTCATACTGGTTTAGGTATCTTCTGTCATTACTAAATCTAGAAAATTAACTAAGTGTAACTTTTGCAGTTTGAGGTGCGACAGCAAAACTAGCATAAATTTCTTTTTCCTTCTTCACAATTTCACAAACAGAAGATTTGTTCTTACTGTAGATCTCAACAACCTCAGTGTTTGATTTCTTATCTTTCCTTATTACATCAAGAATTTTCACCTTTTTACTTAAAGGAAGGACTTTATAACTTCTTTGGCATATCTGAATTGCCAGCATCACTACTCTTGTGCTTTGGGGCCATTATTAAGTAAATAAGGGTTACTTGAACACAGTAACCCAGTAAATCTGATAACCCAGATGGCTACTAGGTGACTAACCTGGACAAAGGGATGATTCCCCTCCCAGGAGGGACGGAGATGGAGATGGAGTGAGATTTCATCATGCTACTCGGGGCGGCATGCAATTTAAAATTTATGAATTGTTTATTTCTGTAATTTTCCATTTAATATTTTCAGACCATGGTTGGTCTGAAACCACAGAAATTGAAAATGTGGATAACGGGGGACTACTGTAATTTTCTCTTTCTGTTCCAGGATCCCATCCAGGTTATCACGCTACATTTAGTCATCATGTCTCCTTAGCCTCCTCTGGTCTATGACAGATTCTCAGGTTTTCCTTGTTTTTTTTTTTTATAACTTTGACAGTTTTGTACTGGCCAGATATCCTGTAGAATGTCTCCCAACCTGGGTTTACCTGGTATTTTACTCATGGTTAGACTTGGGTTATGGACTTTTGGGAAGATGAAGTATCCTTCTCAACACATCATATCAGGGGTGCATGCTATCATCATGACTTATCACTGATAATATTAACAAATACCTGGCCAGGGTAGTGTTTCACAGGTTTCTCCACTGTAAAGTTACCTTCCCCTCTTCCTATACTCTTACTCTTCAGAAGCAAGGCATTATGCGTGGCCCACACTCAAGAGAACAGTGTGGGGAGAGGATTAATCTCTATTTCCTGGAGTGGGGAGTGTCTACATGAAGTATTTGGAATTCTTTTGTAAAGAAGAGTTGCCTTTTCACTCCTTCTCTCCTTCCTTCCCTTCCCTTCCCTTCCCTCCCTCCCTCCCTTCCATCTACCTATCTGTCTATCTAAATATCTATCTATCCTTTGTGCCACAATATCCTGGAGCAGCAGTTGTTTATAATAACTATATAACTTATTACCTTCTCCAAGAAGTTTGAGTAAGTAGCAAGGCTGGAAGGGTTTATATAATAAAGCACAAGAAGAATTTATTTGTGGGAAATCTTTTGCTTTTACAATCATACAAGGATCATACATGGATTTCCTGACTGCGCATGCCAGTGAAGGCAGAATTACATTTGATTAGTTCAAACACATCTAGCAGCAAATTAAACATAAGTAGAATCAGCAATGCTTGGAAGAATGACTGTTGAATATGCATCTTAGACCATCTTCCACTTTAGAAAATTGATCCCACTTGCTACATGTTCAGTAAAATCTCCAGTTACTTGCCAGTAAGATATTGTCCCCCAAATGTATTTATTCTGTATATTTTTGTACTCTACCAGCTTTGCTCAGTTTTTAGATGGCTTTTAGGCCCATTTTTAAGACTAAACCAAATACTTACCTGAGACATAAAGAATTTTTTGGAAACATTATGAGCAATGGACAAGTATGCAGTGATTAAAGGGATAAAAGCTTTAACAACTACTCACAACATTCCCTTTCCTTGTGAAATTTAAATATGTCACAGGAAGTTAACAATAATTACCAGATTTAATGCATGCTGAACAGAATCTTGTTTTCAAGAGAAAGGATGTAATGTGGAAGTGCATCCATCACACAAATATCCCACTGCATGATATGTTAACTGCAAAACCTATGTTTAGAACTCTAGGAACTTCTTTGATAATACCTTGTATTAGTTAGGAAATCCTGAAAATGAACATCTGTGCAAATTTGAAGCTTTGAAAAACAGTACTTACCTAAATGAAAAATATGAGAAAAGGAAAACTGGCAATATGGACATGTGTTCTCATGTATCTCTGACATTCTTTAAATAGCATAAAAATGTACTGTGAATAGTTTAAATATTAAAAAAAAGAACACAAGTACGATTCTATATATGTGTTTGAACATAAATACATATACACGTTTATGTTCGAGTATGCATATAAACAAACACGTTTAAAACTACCCCTTTGCAAATAAAAGAGCAAAGAGCATTTTGCTCACCATCCAAGTCTTCAAAGATTAACCCGCTGCAGCCGCTGAACAACAGGGCACTGGATGCTTCAGATGAAGAGATTAAGGTGATAACAGGATGGGCACTCTGTGCTTCAGAGGAAATTTAAAGATGAAAACGGGAGGCTCTGTGCTTTGGACAAACAGGCCCTTAGACACATGCATTTCACGAAGAGTTTTAATGAACCCCGCTTCCCATACATAGAAAAGCCCTATAATCATTAACTTGGGATATCTGTTCTTTGTGACGAGCAGTGATCTTTTACCAAGATACATTTGACTGCACGTGTTCCCTAACAACAACAACAAAATCACATATAAAATAGCCTCCCCCCACCTCTCTGGAGCAGTTCCTCAGAGCTATCCGAAGGCTGTCTCTGGGGCTACAGTCCTCAGTAAGACCCTGAATAAACCTTAACTCACACCTCTCATGTTGTGCATTTTTCTCTCAGTTGAAACCTTGGATCACTGCATAAGTCTAGTAATATGAATTACTGCAAAATTATTTTATGGCTCTTATTACAAAATAAACAATAAACCGTAACCAAAATTAGAACTAAAAGGCCACCTATCTTCACAGGACAATGAGCTTGTCCTCTACAAGCATTATAACAAACTATCTTTCAGTCCTGCTCTCAAAGGTATCAGCAGATAGAAGGGAATCGCTGAAGATGTTAAGGAAAATACATATATGGCTGGAGCTTTAGCTTTTAGCTAGATTAACCCGAATAAAAAAGTGCTTAGGGAAAGAGTCCAGAGATTATCTGACAGGCGTTCAATGGCTACGGTTTGAAGTCAGGATGTCTGTCTGTTCCTAAAGCTTTACAAAAACGAATTACTCAAGCTAAAGGAATGGCTCAGCATAAAGAGCTCCGGAGAGCCTTCCTCCCGCCACGCCCCAGCGGTTCAGAGCTAGTCCGCCCTGCCCACGGGGAAGAGCCCCAAGGGTCCTCAGCGTCCACGGCCCGGGCCCTTCGTTTATCCCCTAACTCTCCACATGATGAGTGGGGGGCTCCCGCCTCGGCAAGCTCAGGGCTAAAAGCTGGGGACCCTCAACACTTCCCTAGGCGGCAAGGCCAGCACTGCGCCTAACCCACCTCCAAGAGGGGTCACATTACAGTGGTTGGCTCGTTTTACATCATTCCCATAACGGACATGGTATCATGTTAAACCCGAAAGGGTGGGGTTTGATAAACCATTTAAACCAGATGTTTAGTCCCGGGATGGCGTGGGCTTTGACAAAGGGGGGGGGGGTGCGGGGGGGGGGGGGGGGGGGGCGCAGTCCCTGCGGGAAAACCCATGCCCTTAGCTCACCTTAGCCGCCCCTCCTCCTGCCCCCCCCATCGCCCCCTCAGCTTCCGCTTTCCTCCCTAAACGTCCAGGGCCTTGAGGGACAGAGCCAAGCCTGGGGCGACTTTGAACGTGAGACAAGAAGGAATTTTCATTCCTCAGGAGCCGGAGGCTAGGACCCCGGCGCCAGCACCAAGCGTAGCAGCTTCCAAAGGTCGTGTTGCAGCCGAGCTCCTTGTAGCTCCCTGGTTTCCTGGTTACGTGCGTGCCAGCATAAACCAAAACCTCCGCCCGCGACTTCCGCTTTCCCAAAGGGCCTAAAGAGGTGAGCACGACAGCGTGAGACGTGTCGAACTCTGCGCGCCTCATGGCGGCCGCTGAAGCCCAACCGCCCGGAATCCTGTCCCTCACGACGCACGCGCACAAGGGCTGCGGGGGGGAGCAGCTCGGGGCCCCGCCCCAAGGTGGGCGGGCCTGACGCCTCACGCTGGGCCAATCAGCTGGCAGACCCGCGCTGCCTCCTCCTCCTTTCTCCCCGCCAGCCTTTCTGGGTTCCCGGTTGCACGTGTCAGTGTTTGTGTACGTGCGGCTGCAGCTGGGCGGAGAAACGCCGGCATCCCAGGGTTGGGCTGCTGGGGCGCAGCCAGAGCTGTGGCGCGGCGGGGAGGGGCCGGCCCGTTGGCCCTGGGGATCTTTAAATTCTGCTCTTGGGCGGCTTGTGCTCTCTTACCTGTTTGTCTGCAGCGAGCGCCTCACCGCTCTGCTCTCCCAAGCACTCCAGTCCTCTACTTTAGGTGGGAGATGCTGTTGCTCGATTGCAACCCCGAGGTGAGACTCAGGCTGCTTTTGCCCTGCAGGCTTAAGTCTTCTAGGGAGGGCTAGCTAGGGTGATGGCTTACTGACCACTTGGCGTTGCCAAGTCAAGCCTCTTCAGAGTTGGAAGGTTTTTGGAGTGGAGGAAGATGTTCAATCCAGGGAGGGCATGAGCCTTGACAAAGGCGAGGGCGGTGCTGGAGCTGTTCTTTTCTCGCAGGTGGATAGTCTGACGCATCTGCTGGAGACCGGGGCCTCCGTCAACGCACCCCCGGATCCCTGCGAGCAGTCGCCTGTCCACTTGGCCGCAGGTGGCGGCCTTGCTTGCTTTCTTCTCTGGCAGCTGCAGACCGGCGCTGACCTCAACCAACAGGTAACTAGGTAACTGATTGTTGCCGTGTGCAACCCTCCCCCTCCACCCCAAATCCACACAAACACTTCTTAGACGCCGAGATATTCAGTCGTTTCAATTATTAGAAACGTGACTGTCGCAGCGATGTCCAATAGAAATATAATGTGAGACACGTATGTTAAGATTTTCTAGTAGCCACATTAATGAAGTAAAACGAAACATGGAAATTTTAGTAACCTAACCCAATTAATCCAAAATATTATTTCATATGTAATCAATATAAAACATTACTGATAGTTTACATTTTCTTTTCATGTGTCTTCTCCATCTGCTGTGTATTTTACATTTACAGCACATTTCAATTCAGACTAGCCACATTTCAGGTGCTCATTAGCTGGATATATGGTTGCTGGCTACCACATGGGACAGCATTTCCAAGGTCTACAGTTCATTTCCAAAGGAACAATTGCTCCATTACCAAATTAAAAGTCTCAGGATAGCAATACTTGTGAGGCATGCTCACAACCAATACAATTCCTTACAGAACTTTCTTAGGGTAGTTTGCATCTTCATTGAATATTAAAGTATGGTGAATTTTAAATTGTAATTTTTTTACTTCTGTAGGATTGTATTTTGCTTTTATTCACTTAAAACTTAATGTATGTTTGTAGCTGTGGCTGCACATATTTTTATTAATGACAACTTTGTATTTAATAGGGCACAAAGTGAATTTTATTTTAAAAAAAGAATTTAAAAATTCGGTCCAGTACAATGCATTTCTAACCCCGCTTCCTCAAATAGCTTCCTCAAACAATAGACTTCACCCACCAACTTCCACTAGAGTGTTTCGGGGAGAGACTAAAATGTGCTGTTTTGTCTGTAAGGATGTTTTTGGAGAAGCTCCACTACACAAAGCAGCAAAAGTTGGAAGCATGGAATGCCTCAGCCTGCTTGTAGCCAGTGACGCCCAAATTGAGTAAGTATGAAATCAGTGGCTTCAAATTTTATATTTTCTTGGATTAAACTAATCAGACTCCTACAGCTTAATTACATGATGCTTGCCGTTGATAATGTTAATGTTTAAATGTTAACTTAGGCTGTTAATGACATCTAATACTATGTATTCAATTTGAATAAATAAAAAATGGATCCTAAGCAATCAGAGATACAGTTCTATTCATCTGTCATGGCAGTGTTACATCTTAGTTTTGGTTTAGAAAAGCCATTCTATAGAAGTTCTCACTGACTTCCTTTGCGTACTTAACTCATTGTAGTGAACAAAGAATACTCTTTCATTCGTGCAAAAATAAAATGCCCACTCTGTGCTGTACTCTGTGCTAGCCATTGAGGATAAATAGTGAGCAAAAATGGAATTCCTCTATGCTTCCTTTACCTCTTCTATTCTGCAACCAACATTTGTATAAGCCCAAAGCACCTTTGTTAGGAAGATATTAAAAAAGGCTAAACAATTGTCAACTTTTACTTAACTAATTTTTTGTCTCAAATTCAGTTTATGTAATAAGAATGGGCAAACAGCTGAAGATCTTGCTTGGTCATGTGGATTTCCAGAATGTGGCAAGTTTCTTACAACAATTAAATGTATGCAGACAATAAAACCAAGTGAACAATCCAATAAAGATCATTGTGTTCCAGTGCTCAGACAGAAACGAAGTTTTGGAAGTAAAGAAGATACAAATGGGAAAAGGAAGTGTTGGTAAGGAATTCATAGTTTCTTCTTTCTTCCTCCCTCAAGGATCTCTTATTTAGCACAGAATTTATTGTTTCATTTAAATATTGGCAGTCTTATTTCTAGTATAACTTTTCATTCTCATTAACACATTTTAATACTGGTTGTAGTAACTACTACCAGATTCTAGAGACCAAAAATTGTCCTGCATGGTGGAAGATTGGGAAGGAAACCTTTTTAAAAAAAGTTTTTAATGTTAATATGTTTTTTAACAACAGATGTCGTATTGGTTATGAAGAGGTGTGGAGAAGGTCTTCACTTCATGCAGATCTACTGCTCAGCTACAAGCTATGGCTTTTGGCTCATCAAGTGTGTCTAAACACCTTCTAAGAAGGAGGAAAACTTTCTTCTAAGTGAAGATAACATTCAAGAATACATGTATTTATATGCCTGTAACATTCCGGTTGTGCATGCTTTGTCTTTTAATTTATTAAAGGAGTGTCTAAAGAATAAATTCTTTTCTTTGTGTAATATTTACAACCTTTACAAAAAAATCATAGAAACCATCAAACTACACCCAGGATTCAATTTGAAATTAAATTTATTCTTTATCAACAAATTTATAAAGTACAACTTTACTACAGTCTTTGAGTCCAAGATATTTTAAATAGTATTTGGTCGCTGAGGAAGACATAAGTTATAGTAAGCATCGCTGTTCCAAAAGTCTGGACCCTTCCATCCACACCAGCCCTAGATTTGGGAGAAGGGAAAGGAAAACCTTTTACAAAGTTATAGGGCTACATGATTGAAACTGTAACATTTTACAATCCTGCTCTGTCAGCAGGGTCTTGGAATAAGGCTCTAAATACCTATATAATTCAAATATTTGAGTTCCTGTAAAGCATAGAAAAGTAGCTTATTTGGTTCCATTTCAGACAGAATTCTATGATATTTAATCATAGGAATCATTAAAAATGAAAAGCTTCATTATGGTACTGTTACTCAGTACCACATTTTATTGATTTCAAGATGCATAGTTTTATAATTCTGGCAGTCGATGGCATGTGATAGTTTAACTGGCATCTGTCCATAACAAGACTACAGACAGTGAAAAAGACTGAACTAGAAAGTGGGGAGCCACCAAATTGGCCACTGCCTTGATCCCGATTTCCCAGCAGTGGCATCTCAGCAGTGATACGTGGCAG